TCAAGCTATTATTTCTAATAACTGCTGAAAAATTCCCCTTTCATACAGTCCTCGCCTTCTGCAGCTTTAGCTAATCGTCACAACTTTTGTTTCATAGCTGGACATGATAACATAGTAATAGACAAGCTATTTCTGGTGCAAATCTAATTTGGGTTTTTTCAAGCAGTCACAAGTCAAGCCAATTTGGAAGCCTTCGATTACAAATTTGCATGAAATGAAGATTCATCAAATTCTATGAAATCCTGAAGACTCAAAACTTAAAACTCAATTATCACTATAGTTTGACTTTGCAAATTTTTCAAGCACTGTAGATTTTGAAGGTAAAAGGATTTGTGTGCGAGCGTCTGCTGTTATTTCAGCAATTTTTGCAAAGTTTCAGAAATAAAATACAGTGATGGAAGGAGAAAGAAAAGCTAAGTTGATAAGATAGATAAGATAAGCTGTTCAAGATACTTGTCAATCAGCATTATACCTGATCTGAGTGTGGTTCTAACAAGAAAAGTAAACTTTTTGTACTTTCAACATTACCCTGGCCAGAACTCAGTACAGCTGGCACCGGGTCAAGCTGGATATCGTTTTTAGGGCGGAAAGCAAAGGGGATATCGTTTCTACAGGGGCCGAGGCGGAGAACTGCCGCAAAGATGCTGCCGGCATGCCACCGGCATGCCATTGGCAAGCTGTCCATCAACAAACAAAGGCGTTGTTTTCAGCCAAAACGCAATAGTATGACACCAAATTTGGTGCGTGCATGCGCGTTGGTGGACCGGAACTACGGGCCAAAAATTTATGAAAACTTATGTGAATGAAAGCTGTGCCTAATTTTTTCTGAATTAGCTGGCACCGTGCCAGCTGGGTGCCAGCTGAGCTGGCACCGTCACTTTGCTCACATAAGTTTTCATACTTTTTTACATAAAATGTATCTACATTGTAAAAGATTACATACGGAGAAGAAACAGTTTCATAATGTTCTCTTTTCAGCGTTTTGTAGCAATTTGAAAACCACTCGGCCCGCTCCGCAGTCGAAAAATCGGCTTTTTCTGCTTCTCAAGGTGTGATTCGACCACTTAAAAAGCTCAGAAAGCTGTGAAAAGTTCTTTCATGAAATCAAAAATGCATGAAAACACTACGACATTTTTTTACATAATATAAAAATGATGACGGATTTTCAAAAGAGGTCAAAAGGAACTTCGTACGAAATTTTTAATATCAAACGGGACTTCGTTTTGAAATTTCCCTGGTGCCAGCTCGTGCCGAGCCCTGACCCTGGCATATGTAAGCTAAGGAGAAAAGCCAAATCCGTACATCTATCACACTTCAGGGCGCTTGTTACCTATACACATCCTTCTAGAGACTGAGACAATACATAAGGCTAAAGCTCAAACACACAATGACGTATAATAAAATAGAACCTTTTCGATTATCTGGGACAGATGGAAAATTCGAGCAAACGTCCCAGTGCATCTATCCTAATTAACTTTCTCATCAAATATGCGATAAAAAGAAGTATCTATTCGTTGAACCTCAACAATAGCATAAAGGACACTCTGATGCACTATCTCCTGCACATCCAAGCATCAAGTAATGGTGAGTATTTTTTTGATCTACATCTTTGCAAGAAGACTTTTTTTGAAGATGATCATACACTAAAATATCGTAATGGCAGCTGCGGGTGTCATGGCAGGCATCTCGCTTGGTAAGTTCTAGAAGTATGAAATTGTCATACATGTAATTACTACCAATAAGGTGCATATTGAAGCACTGCCCATTTTGTATTCAAAAAACTACTATAAAGACCACTTATTCAAGTTTCGCTAGCTAATTTCTAGCCATGTTTACCATCACAATTTTGCAGACCAAAAGAGCATGCAAGAATTGGTTGATTATATCAACATGCTCAATCCTTGTTTAAGCTGAATTGCCATAAAGCAATATCTACAGCAGGTGATCACTTCTTAGCTTTTTTGAAGCACATTTTTGAGGCTGGCACCTCTACGAAGGGATTTAAACCATGGTTCATTGATCCAGAATACTTGGAATTGAACAACAAAATTTGTTATAAAGGTTCCGACTAAATTCGCGGCAGGGCAAGATGATAGTGATATCTCAGACAGGTGGCTTTACATAGACTTGATTGGCTGTTTTTTATCGAGTATGAATTTAAACTGATTCAGCTTTGATGCGCGCGAGAAGTGACTTGAATGTAAATCCATAAAGCTCGTTCGCGATAGCGCAATTGCGATGAGGTATTCCAGAAAGCGGATACTTTATACCATAGAATCACACTCAAACTTCAGGATCAGGCTGGGCAGTCCCAGCAGCTTCGGTCAGTCAAATAGATTGTGCATCTCTTCCTGACAGAATCAGGTTCAAATAATGGCGATGGAAATCTTGCATTTACTATTGCTATAGAAGCTACTGTCTGCTACAGATGTCCTGTCTTGTTGCATGAACTGCAAAAAATACGACGATCCGTAAGATTTCTATGAATTGAATATTTACGAAAAAGTATAAAGTGAACTTTCTGTGTAACTTTTGTCGTATATCGTTAAATGCTTCTACTGCACTCAGAATAGGTGTCATCACGTTTTAGATGTGACGTGAAAGTATTCGAAGTTACATGGAATTTGTTTTGGGGGATTATACAATCAAAAGATGAAGGGTCAGTGCTATTGCTATTGAGACTCTCCGACTTGCCGGTTTTAGAATGCGTGCAAACAGTATGCATTTCCTCCATGTGCTCGCAGCAAAAAAGGGTATGAAATATAAACTTTGTAAAGATGAAGAAACGTTGCTGGTGCCAGAAGAGCGGGAAGGGTGCTTGCAAGTCTACGAGATGACATACGATAAGGATAGAATATATGGTAAGTGTGGCGGCTCGGTGGGCCCTAAGCACCTAGACTTACCCGAGACACCCGCACGCTCGCCCGCTTAATACATACGACGCAGCCTATCCTACTAGTTACCCTAGCGCGTAAGAGACAGTATTAAATTACTAACGTTTTATCCTTATGACACAAAACAATTCAAATAGACAAAAAGAACACTAAACTAAAAACAGATTACTACTACTGCTAAGGACTAAACTACTAAACATAAAACTCAACACGGGACGAGCTGCCCCATCCCGTGCTACCGATGCGCACGACTATAAACGCAAATAAGAAATATGCTCCCGAGGCTTCACCAATACAGATCCGCCACGCGTCGCCGGATACCAGGCGCGACAGCCTCTCCGCTCCCAAGGTTCATAAGATATCAAATCCCAAAGGTTTCAAAAGTAGCTCGTCCAAAAGAATCCCAAATTGCTCTTCGATCCAATATGACTTTCTATCTGCTCGACCGCTAACGCAAAGAAACATCAAAAGCGGGAGCTAACTGCCAGGCACGAGCACAATGGAAAACATACGAAAAGATTATCGATCGAAAACGAAAGCGAACAGACGCTGCAATGAGGCGCCGCCGCTATATATAGCCTTTTGGCTGGCAACGCGCCAAGGCGAGGAGAGGTCCAGCGGCGATTGCGGCGAACGTAAGAAAGTGCCGTTATCGTCGCCGTGTAGCGCGGCAGCAACCAGTGCTCCCGGCCTCCTACTTCTAGGAGCGCTCGCATCGCGGAGCCGCGATACTCCCCCCAGAAGCAGTGGGCTTGGGCGTTCGAGAGGTGGTTACGTGATAGCACCGGGGATCTGCGGTTAATGCCTTTAGCCGAAAATTTTGGATGACAAAGCGAAAAAGAAATAAAGGTCATTCATCGGTAGCACAGTAAGAGCGCGTCGAAAGTAAATGGATTGAAGATAACCCGTCCCGTGCCCATCAACAAGCATACTTCAAGAGCGCACGAAGCGCATCCAACAAACAACACAAAAAATTCACAAAATCAAGTAATCATAATCGGATTGTGTCTGGGTAGTAGGCTGCTCGCTACTCGTAACTGACGAGGACCAACGTTGTTGAGGTAGGCAACAAACACAGTTGATTTGACGGGCCAAACGTGCTACCATGTTGGTAAGTACTATAACACATAAACTTTGCGAGGCCAAATGAGCTTAGATGGAACAGTGCTTGCCGTTCAGTGACCATCGTCAGTGGTATTCTGCCATCACGGCTACTGACCCTTCCACATTCTATCGCCTGCAACTCTAAATGAAAATTAAGGCACGCGCGAACGCGAAATGACTACACACAAGAGCGCAAGGGATAGTTTTCCTCCCCGATGGTCTGGGGCTTAGCATGCTGCAACCTTTTTACGCCGGTGTTAGTGTGGCAAAAACAGCTGTTTTACACAAGAAACGCAAAAATGGACGTAGTCCAGCCTCCCGCGGCCACATGGGCAGTCTTAGGATATGTGCGCGACGCGCTAGCGATGTTCCTACGTTTACAAAAAACGAATGAAAGGCGTGCCACAAAGGCTAGCTCCAATATTCAAAAGGTGCAGCTACGGTCAAAAGCCAGGTTAAGCGCGGCAAATCAAATGAGCTGCGTGATCTGCAACACAGAGGGACAAATGCAAAAGGAAAAGTAAAAGTTACAAAAAATAGATGGAAAACCAAAACTTTTACTTACTCTTACCTACACTGTCCTCTACACGCGCGTCACGATCACTCATAGTAAGTTGTCAGTTTAGATGGTACGGAAACAGCATTCTCGTTGCACACAGACAGATGGGAAGCGCCGTGCGTGGGAACCTAAGTACGCAAAACAACAGGAAGAAAAGCAAAAATACAAGAAAAATGAAAAAATTGTAAAAGGTATAGAAGAGAAAGGCAGGTTCCTAGCAGGTGGGTGATCAAGAAGAGCGCGACCTGTGCTGTGCATGATCTGGAGAAGTCTGAGTTTCCGCAAACTGCACGCGCTTAGGCAAAGGAATCGACGATGGAAACGTGTCGGTGGAAGAAACGAACTACGCGCTCGTGGTGGATTCAAGCACAATGCTAGATGGTGAGCTTTACCGCAGTATAGGCACATGGGTGCAGAGCAAAACTTCGCAAGATGTCCGTAACCTAAGCATAACCAACAGAGTTGCTCTTGGCCAACGATGGCTCTTCGCTGCCTAGGACCGGGTACTTCCACACAATCCTGCGGTTGGTGTCCTTCAACTAAACAGAAGATACAATCATCCTGGTCTGCAACATACTGCGATTGTGCTGGAGTGCGAGACGCACGTTGCGGGTAGTACGGGGATGGTGTCCTGGTTCTAGTCGAATGGTACTGAGATGGTAAGCGAAAGCTGCGCGAACATCTGGGGCAGACTGATGACTGATACTGCGGCCTACTTCGCGTCGGACTATCGCTGGTGTACCTGTGCGGGGAAGAAGAAGCTTGACGGACTGTAGAATCGGCGTAGATGGCATAAGGTGTGGGATCGGCGTCTTCGACTAACTGCAGCCTGTCCATAACCGTATCAAATGCTGTCAGTAGCTCGTCTACCGTCCACATCTGGTCTTCCTTATTCTTCATCTCGCCAACCTTCTCACGTGTACGTCGTGGGAACTTCGATCGAATCGTGTTCAGTGCACCTATCGACGATTCTTCCTTCAAGCGCTTCATCTGGGACCAAATAGCTCTGATGGAGCCAAGCGTAGCGCGCTGTGAAGCCGCAGACTCCTTTGCGGGCGCTTGCTTGTTGAGCTTGTCCCAAAGACGCATTCGCAAATGTTCCGGTCGATTGTAGGTGCTCTGGATCGTGCGTACTGCATCCTCATAATTCTCTTCAGTGGGTTGGAAATTCGCGATGATGTTCGCTGCGTCTCCTCTTAAGTGCGTCTTCAGGTACATGAACCTGACAGCTACCGGCACGCTGTTGTTGTTATGCACAGAAGCAGCAAAGATGTTCCAAAATTCAGGAAACGCGTCCATATCGCCGGAAAAGAATGGTATCTCGAATGAGGGTAAGCTGTACGAGGTAGACGAAGATGGAACGCTCGTCGATGCAAGTGGGGGATTCGGAAATAATTTCAATTGCTATATTATGCCGTAACAGGTTGCTATAGATGATATACTTTATTACCCGACGTTTCGGCAAGACGCCGTCTTCAGGGGCTGAAAAGGCGTCAATCACATTGATACACACGATCTCTGCCGCCAAATATCTCCACCGACTTGCCACTCGATTCGTCTTGAGTGAAGGCAGGGAGTTTGAGGGCGAAGGTTCACCCACCAAGTATATCACCGATGTTGTAGCTAACAGCCGCTTCGGGTGTGCTTGGTCGAGTGCGGTGTCAAATGGGCACTCAAGCTACTGCGGGGCTGTTTAAGTAGGGCACACAATCTTATAGTTTACAGTATGACAGATACGGCATTAAGTCACTCGTGATAGATAATTTCTCATTCTTGCTGTTTAGTTTGGGCTCACGAGCAAGAATGTAGGAGCCTTCCAAGGCTTTTCGTGCGGAAATTTGGTGTTCGTGGGCCAAGATTTTGCACCTGATATCGTAATCAACTCCGTTATGTTCGGTCTTCTATGCTTTCCCAGTGGGCTAACCATGCTTTGCCTCTTTTTGCTAGCTAGATGTTCACTGATACGCACACCTAGTGGCCGGCCGGTTTCACCAATGTATATGGCAGAGCACTTCGCACACTCAATTTGATACACAACACCAGATTTCGCACAATCTCCGAATTGTCCGTATGGGCACACAACGCAGTTTCTTGTTATACAAGCTTTATCGTACAATCTCGTATTAACAGCTTTCTGATGTTGTCTCGCGGGATGTTAACTAAGACGACATCTTTCTCAAGCTGTGCTTGTATCAGACACTGTTTGACTGCAGCAGTGACCCTTTCGGAGATAAAAGGCAAGCATAATGGTACTCTATTGGTAGCTTGTTCGCCTGTCTTTACAGTGTTTCTTTTCGAACATCCGTGTCGTATAACATATCCATTCGAGGCTATAATTTCGGCTGCCAGCTTCAGTGACTCCTGCCTTTCCTCATTACCGCTGCAGATTTGCGTCGCTGTTTTGATCATATTACGTACGACGGCTCGTTTGACAGCTTCTGGATGTGCGGATTTTGCGTGCAAGATAATGTTCTTATTACTGTCTTTACGAAACCACTTCACGTGCACCGTTCCATTGCTCAGCATCAGTTGTGTGTTCAAAAACCATAGCCAACCGTCGCGCGGTTCCTCCCTCGTAAAGCTTATATATCTCGACTGTTGATTTAGAATTCGGAAACATTCGTCCATTTCGGACTTTGTCGACGTGACTATGCAACAGTCGTCGATATAACGACGATACATAAGCGGGGCTCGGGATAGCACCGGTTCTTCTACTTTGCTCATGAAACATATTGCTAACACGGGTGCCAATCGCTGGCCCATTGCCAGTCCTCTTGTTTGTGCGTAATATTTTCCCGACCATTTAGATATATTGCAATCTAAGCATTCCTTGGTGAGAGTCACGATGCGGCTTTTACTGAGACCATACGTCAACATATTTGTACAATGTAACTCTAGCATCTCAGATAAAGCTTGTAAGGCTTTGTCATTAGAAACATTAGTGTATAATGACACGACATCAAATGACTCAATTGCGCAATCGGACGTGAACTTTGTTTGACGCAAACACTCAAGGAAGTGATTAGTATTGCTCAAGTGGGCGGGAATCTTGTTCAAGAGCTGGCTGATGATTTTGTTGAGGAACCACGATATGCGATCGGTTGGCCCGTTTACGCAACTGACGATGGGCCGTATCTTGTATGATTCAGCGGAAGTGGAGCGCATTTCGGATGTAGACAGTTTGTGCGTCTTGATTAAGCTATAGAAAACGGGGCAAGTGGGTGTTTCTATCTTGAGCCTACTGAGGACTTTTTCATGCAGACCAGCTTCTCTACCTACTATTGTCCATATGTGGTTTAACCGCTTACACTGTGAGATAAACTCTTTTTCGGTTGCAGGTTGGTAGACAGTTTTATCTGACAGATGCATTTCGGTTATTTCGCGATCCAGGTCTTGTGGCATGACAACGAATTCCCCGCTTTTATCACTGACTGATAGGCGGATGGTGCCATTGTTAGTCAGCTCTCTCAACTCTCTGAGGCCTTCTTGCTGTGCGCGTGTCAAGTTGTACTTTCTTATAGTTTCGTTTTCATTGAGAATTTTCAAAATGCTCAATGAGAGTATTCGAAACTTAATGTCCGCGGCAGCATATGGTTCAGGCTCTTTGTAGAACGAGGATGGAAACGGAACTGGCGGTAATACCTCGTCTACTCAAAGCATCGTTGGGTTGCGGTTGATCGTCATGCTTCAGTTTGATCCTGAGTTGGTCTCTTAATCGTTGTAATGACCCCAACACGCTGCGGTATGTTGTTGCGCTTATATTCTGTGCAGGTGCGAAAGAAGGTCCTAGGCTCAGCAATTCGATAGCATTGCGTGAAATCTGAGCATTACCTAACACTGTGACTCTAGCCGTTTTTTCGTTCGTAGTGGATTGAGTACCCGTACTGTCGTTATGGTGATTTGGTAGATTCCCCTCAACTCTCATCAAACTCGACCTACCTTCATTCAAGAGTCTTTCGAATTTTCGACAAAGTGCGGCCTTGACATTAGACCGCAAAGAGTCGCAGATCTGTTTTGAAGCATTTTTAATCCTCCTCCAATCAGTATCACTTAAATATCGTCGACAGGAATGTTCTTTAGCTTCACACTTCAATAGGCTCGAGTATAACACGCGTTGCTTCTCCTTGATCACCATCATAAGGATGTTCATGTAGAGTTTGCGTATTCTTTGATGGTTCTCTGATAGGCCGCATGTTGATCCCAGTTTTTTATTTGTAATGAATCGTGGGAGCGTTTCGGTCGACTTGCAGCGCTTGAGGAAGATTAGCTGCTGACGGGTGACGACGACCTTCTGGCGAAGCGCTAAGGCTTCGCGCACTAATGAGGACAGATTCGGCGGTACATTTGTGATTATGTTGTAAGTCCTCTTATCTTTGAACCTTGGCATGTTCTTGAGGATGAATAATTTCAATTGCTATATTATGCCGTAACAGGTTGCTATAGATGATATACTTTATTACCCGATGTTTCGGCAAGACGCCGTCTTCAGGGGCTGAAAAGGCGTCAATCACATTGATACACACGATCTCTGCCGCCAAATATCTCCACCGACTTGCCACTCGATTCGTCTTGAGTGAAGGCAGGGAGTTTGAGGGCGAAGGTTCACCCACCAAGTATATCACCGATGTTGTAGCTAACAGCATCGGTGATATACTTGGAAATAGATTTGGCGAAGGGGTTTGGGATCCAAGAGGATGCATGCTCGTCGGAGCAGGAGGACGGGTTGACTGGGTATTGCCAAATCCAGAAGGGACTCGCGGACACTGGTCTCCCTGCGGAGGGTTCCCTGCGTCACTCGCGAGAGGGTCATGGTCTACCGGCGCAACTGAAGAAGGATCCGATGGACGGTCCTGGGAAGGAGAAATCTGCGCGGGTTGAGCGGGCACTTGGGGTTGCGCAGTATCGGAAGAAGAGGGGGACGATGCGGGATTAAGAGTGAGCTGGGTGGAAGCAATCGACGAAAGATGACGTTCGTACAGCATATCCGCGTTCGGGAGAAGTTTGATCTTGTTGTCCAAACGTTCAAGGAGAATATCCGCTTCCACCAAGAGATCCGCCATATCACTGGCTTCCCAATGAGCGTAGATCTCAACGCGGAAGGGGAATCCTCCCTGCTCGTCAGGCCTCGAACAAGCAAACTCCTCAGCTTTCTCCCGCTGAGCACGTAAGTAAGAAGCAGTGCAACTGATAGAAGAAATAAAATCGGAAAGCAAAGTTCTACGACTGATGACGAAATCGTAATCCTTGCCTGCATCGGAGGTAAGACTTTCGCTTTCCAGGTTGGCCTGTTCCACTTCCGCGATCTTCTTGCGCAGGATATTGGCTGCTTTGGTCAGCTGAGCCTTATGGGATCCAAGGAGCGACATTTCTGTAATGAAAAAGACAGGAGCGAACGTAGTAGTATGTATACACAACGAATACATGAAGCGAGTAAATACGAATACGAAGAGTACCTAACCTAAAAATTCTAAAGAGGGGTATACTAACAATCAACACGCTAGGGGTCCGTAGTAGGCGCAAAGGCAAGAAGCTGAATAGGGTTGTCAAACGAGGGCAGAATCGCATGCCATAGCAATGCGCGAATAACACAAGAGCAATGCAAACAGCTTCGTCAGGGCTACCTGAAAGAACGACATGGCGAACGTTGCAACAGTTACCTCTCCCAGCGGTGATGCCCCAGTGGCGTGTGCTCCAGTAGCGTAAGGTCCGCCACAACGACTCCATCTCGCACTCGCAGATAGACTTGGTCCACTGTCACACCCATCCTTGCGCAAGACAACACGCTGGATCCAGGGGCTTATAGCTGTAAGTGCTGCCACCGCTTACTACTAGGTCACCCCACGCGCTGGCTACGCTCAAGGCTGTAAAACCAATGGGTTACCTGACACCTGAATGGCGCGCATGAACGCATGCCCTATTCACTGCTTGCCTGGACTTAAACTAGGTGCGGGACGTGGTAGACTACGGGATCGTTAAGCACGCATGGAGGATGGGATAGCTAGAAACTGCGCTACTAGTGCGCGAAAACCTGCTGAGATGTTACCTACCCAACGCGACTTAGCAACGCGGCTACCCAACACTACACGCGGACGGAAAAACCGCATCCACCATGCGCTTGGCGACGATGCACCATGTGGCGGCTCGGTGGGCCCTAAGCACCTAGACTTACCCGAGACACCCGCACGCTCGCCCGCTTAATACATACGACGCAGCCTATCCTACTAGTTTACCCTAGCGCGTAAGAGACAGTATTAAATTACTAACGTTTTATCCTTATGACACAAAACAATTAAAATAGACAAAAAGAACACTAAACTAAAAACAGATTACTACTACTGCTAAGGACTAAACTACTAAACATAAAACTCAACACGGGACGAGCTGCCCCATCCCGTGCTACCGATGCGCACGACTATAAACGCAAATAAGAAATATGCTCCCGAGGCTTCACCAATACAGATCCGCCACGCGTCGCCGGATACCAGGCGCGACAGCCTCTCCGCTCCCAAGGTTCATAAGATATCAAATCCCAAAGGTTTCAAAAGTAGCTCGTCCAAAAGAATCCCAAATTGCTCTTCGATCCAATATGACTTTCTATCTGCTCGACCGCTAACGCAAAGAAACATCAAAAGCGGGAGCTAACTGCCAGGCACGAGCACAATGGAAAACATACGAAATTATCGATCGAAAACGAAAGCGAACAGACGCTGCAATGAGGCGCCGCCGCTATATATAGCCTTTTGGCTGGCAACGCGCCAAGGCGAGGAGAGGTCCAGCGGCGATTGCGGCGAACGTAAGAAAGTGCCGTTATCGTCGCCGTGTAGCGCGGCAGCAACCAGTGCTCCCGGCCTCCTACTTCTAGGAGCGCTCGCATCGCGGAGCCGCGACAGTAAGTATATAGAATTTATGAATATTAATATTTGGGTTTTGGCGTTATCTAAAAGTATTTTCTTCACATTTTTTACTTTAATATACTTGTAATATTCTTTCAAACACTTTCATATCTTGGAGAGGGTTATGAAGTTGATGCGGATGAAAGAAAGATTCAGGAGGAGATAATGACATTTGGAGCTGTTCAAGGTACCTTCGTAGGGCATACAATTTCGGAAAATACGAAAACGAAATATCCGAAGTGCGTTTCTGCACTGTATGTATGTATTTCAATGTATGTCCGCAACTGCACAAGTATGCAATCGAAAATGATGTATTAGAATGTGTTATGAATTTTTTATAATTTCAATAGTCGTTATTTTACTAATTCCATTGAAAACTAGTTAGGCGCGTTTCTGCACGCGTGCTTGAGTTTTTATCTTTGACGCTTTACTTCGTTTCAGCGCGTTCTGGATTGCAAAAAAATCCAACTCAGGGCACCCATACGGTCAGATCATTGGGTGGGGGTGTAGAAGGAAAGAACGATACAGATGTAAAGTACTGGTTGATTTCCAATTCATGGGGCCCTGAATGGGGAGAAAATGGTAAGCGTCAACCTGTATAATCATATGTGTACTGATTTTTCACTAACCAAACATAATGTGTTTTTTTAGGATTTTTCCCATGATTCGTGGAGTTGACCATTGTCGGAGTGAATCGGCCGTCTTTGCAGGTCATCTGAAAATTCGCTAGATCATTGCTTTCAAAATTCTACGGTTTCAACGCTTTTAATAAAGCCTTCAGTTAAGCGCTTCTGATGTTTCTAGATCTTATCATCAGTCTTATGTTGATGCTTATATGGAGGACGCGCAGGAGGAACCAAAGCTATGCCGGCGGCGTGGCAGGAGCTCCCAAAGCCCAGCCGCTTTTCCTCGTAGGGCTACTTGACACCTCCAGAAATCCCTTGAAGGACATCACACCTTCTCAGGGCCAAATGGCGGCCCCGCCCATCACTGCTCCCTCTAAGTGCCCTCCTGAATTGTGTACGCGTACTGTAAGACGTGCCCCATTGTATATGAGGATAATAGAACTGAATTTGAGAAAGAAAAAAGTTCTAGGTCTTTAAAAGTTTTTCTGTAAATGACTGCTGCTGAATTCACGCATCTCGAGTTATGTTTTACTCATGTTTTCGGATAAAAATGATGCTTCTTTAAACTTTCGAGTGCTCGCGTTTGAGTAAATTTGTGAAGCATATCGCATTTATATAAATCAAGCAGAAGTTAAGAGTCTTCCAGTCACAGTATATAACAGAGAACTTGCTCAATTACACGCCAGTTCTAAATCCATCCATAAATATAACGGATTAACATATTTGCAAATGTAGTGTCGTATTTGGAATTCTTATTGTTAGCCAGCTCTTCGACCATGCTACGAAGTTTGGTATTCTAATGCATCGATTGTAGCAAATACTACGCTTGGAAATTTCTTTTTGATATCTTGGATCTTACTGATCATTAGAGTATTGGAGAAAAACTCATTTGTATATATGATGGCAGGCGATAGTAGGAAAGTATATGTGTTTAGGTATCCTAACTTTTGGAGAAAGCGTTGAGTTGCTTATTTGAAAACTGTTACACTCCTTTCAAAATAGGTCCTTATGATGACGAGAAGGTGATTGGGTTCTCAAACTCTTGATGCTAAATCAATTTAATCAGATGACCAGTAATGCACAATTGATCAACTAGATCCTCTAATATATCAAATGACCGAGTTTTCTATTCAAAAAATCTTGTGCATTTTTCTATTCTGGAAATAGTGTTCAAATGCTATTTTTTGAAAGGATGGCGTAGCATAAGTTTCCAAGTCGCCCTCAAGAAATGATAACTATGCTCTTCGCTTCTACTCCATTTTTTCTCTTTTATTACCTCAATACCTGAATCTGTGTTCTCGCTGCTTGCACACCTCACAATGAGACCAGTAAAGGGGTGGAGTATTGGGCGGGGCCTGACCTCTGAGGCGCGGAGGTGCTAGGACCCTCCTGGGTGCGAATGCTGGTGCAAACTTGGTGCAAGGAAAGGTGCTAGGAACTCCTGCACGCCCTCCGGCTATGCCGCCATATGTCCAGGGGACTCCCAACAGCGACGATTAGGCTCCGCCCATTGCCCCGCTTATAAGACGCTCACAGTGTGCGCTAAACAGTGACAGAGAAGACACCACGGAATTAAGGGCAACTAAGAATAATTAAAGGTTAAAACCTAGGTTAAAGACCAAAGAAGATCGATTGTTAAACAGGTTCACAAATACGTTTCTACAACTTAGATAATAAGTATTAGGTGTCGTAGATCGTTTGGAAGAGAAGTCAGAGGCTCAGATGTGAAACAACACCATCTGAGGAGAGGTTTAAAATATTTTACATAAGGTAGAGTTATGTCGTGCAAAATTGAGCGAGAGAACACTTCCAGTATAAGTGAAACCATACAAAGCAGTAAAAGGAGTTTTATAAAAATTTATCTTCGCATGAAGCAATGAAGAATCAAGAAACAAACGGGCTGTATACGTAGAATTTCGCCCTTTCGAATGAAGATAAGTTTCACAACACAGATTTGAGGTGCGAAACCTCTTCGTCCGAGTAACATTCCAGCCGTTGGCAGCCGTTAGGGCATGATTTTGGGAAAGTCGATCAAGAACTCCATATAAATAGAGGAAAAACAATAAAAAAATTTTAACGCATCATGTCTTTCAATAGTAACATTAATGCTTTCTACTCGCCCAGCGATTTTCCTGAGCTTCCTCAAGACGTGAGTTGAGCTTGCAAGTTAACAGTTTTGCGCTACATTCGATATGAATTTAGGATTTGTACATAGACCAGTTCTGACTGGAATGAAACAATCCCTAACCAGACTCATTCCCAACAAAATCATGTACATGAAAAAGAGGTCTAAATACAAATCTACTTATTAAGTACATCAAACTATATTTCAGCTTACTTCCGTGGTGTCTAAGACAAATCGAATAATACCACACCAATCAGATTACAATCAGGTAGCTCTTAAAAGACGAGTTGTGACAATTTTTGCATTTATTTAGTTTTTGCCACTCCACAACAGACTCAACCGTTTTCGGCACAATCGACTCCGCAGCTTTTTGGAAACGAGGTTTGAAACGAATCGATGTAGTTTGCATTTTTATGAGATGTATTTAGTTTGTCCAGCCGCCCCCTACTCAGTATTTCCTCAAGATACATACGAGAATCAGGTTCCACCTGATTTATTGTCTAGTTTCATCAAATCATAGTTCCATTTAGTTCTACACCCAGCCACTCTCAGCACAATATTACCCTCATCAGAATTCCGAAAATCAGGTTTTACTTGAATGTTTTATAACTTTATAGCTCATGTTCAGTTCTATACACAGCCGTCTTTCACGCAAGATTATCCTCAACAGATTTCATCGACAGCTGATGCAAATCAACTAAATCACAATTTCATTTTCAGTT